TCAAATTGGGGAAATTACTTGGTCCACTGAGCAAGGGTTGAGTCAAAGACCTCTCGCGATACGGAGTACTGGCAGATTGACGATGCGAGGGGCCCAAACTCTGAGGCTGGAGGCGCAATGATCAACGAGGAGAAAGAACGGTGGGTTCACCTAATGCAGGAGAGAGGAAGGTAGTGATGATATCGGAGAAGCACAGCGTATGTAGCCTTTTGGCACTATATCAAGTGAGGGGAAGATGAAGATGATGATGACAAGCGCCTGTGAGGAGTCAACTGCGAGTCTGTAAATCTTCAAGCTAAGCAAGAAGCGGAGAGTCCCACGATATGGGTCTGGTCGGGGAATGTCAGGTGTTGCCATGCGACCGATTGTCATGCATTCAAGCAGCGGCCGATCTATTGTTTTTATCCCTTGAATTGCGATTGTTGTCCCTCTTCTCCGTATTGTCGATGTTCATCCTCATACCTCAGATAAGATAGGCAATTGAGCCCGTCATCATTCACTTCCGCCGTCGGGATATCAGTTTCTGGAGAAAGGGTAGCCCGGAGTCCCCTTCCTGGAGGATCAAAGAAACCGCCAATGGGGTTCCATCTCTTGCGAATCATCATTGGCGTTTTTGTGCTAGAGCCCACTAAAGAGTAAGCAATGAGACTAAGGTACGGCTAAAGTTCTATGTAGACTAGCCTTTCATCCTGTCAGAACTCAGGGGCCGGACTCTTATCGACTATCATCGTGAATAGGAGTCGATTTTGAACTCTGGTATATAGGAACAATCTGCCATTGTCGCACATATCCTTTCACCTTCAACTTGATTTAAAGACACTGATACATTCAGTAATAGGAATATGTACTCTGTACCATGATTCCTTCTGGCTCAATTGCTCATAATACAGAGTAGAGTAACAAAAGGAATATGCTCCAGCCCCACAAGGCGGGGTGAGCCGTGAACCACAAGTTGCCCATGGGCGGTACGCCAGATCTAGGTAGGTAGTCTAACTAACTGCACTTCAATAGACAACCGCACAATAGAAATATAATGAAGATATCTGATTGATTAGTCGCTGAGAGGACCCCCTGGCTACTATTATATCATCGGTCCTTTGCTTATCCTGGCATTTGCTTCGAAAGATATATTCAGCCACAATGGCACTTAAATATTTACATGTTCATATCTGATTGTGTCCTGCAAATTCAAGGGCCCAGTGAACTGGGTTGCTACTACAATTATCCATGCCAATCACACGGTGATACTGGGCTCCTTTCCCCTGGGTTTACTGTAGACAATCAACGGTTCCAAAAGCCAGCTATTCCAATGACGTGCTACTCAAACGGTCTGGTAAATATTGGAACCCTACGGACGCAGACAACCAGGACCTGCACGTAGGCTAGCATTATTAAGTCAACCTCGAGTCATTTGCTCGAAATTAGAACTGATTATTCAGACATGACTGATATCTTGAGGCTCATGCTTTTGAACATCCTACCCCATGCACCAACGAAATGAGATCATGAAATCAATACCTTGGATTTCCATCATGAACTAATCACAGGACTTCCCCTATCACACTAAGAGCGAGCACAGCTCAACCCCTAACCTTCATTTTGAAATTGGCTCTATCATCTCTTTTTGGCCTCCCCTGCCCAGATTCGTGTCTCCCTTGCGCTATCGTGGGCCACGCGGAACACTAGTTGAAGATAGTCAATAGCCGGGAATTGCATGTCAAGGGATGAATTCACATACACTGCCTTTCCGTCTCATCAAGCCCTCGAAGAAAATCTGCACCCTCCCCTAAAGCACCCTTGGGGTTATGCGCGTGGTCAGCAATCTCCGCTGCGCGCTTTTTGAATGTCTGTCAAGACTAAAATTAGCAAAGGAACGTACGGGAGCTGGTCAACTCCACGCAGCCTGGCACATTTTTACGTACGCTGATGAGGACATCCACCATCTCTTCCTCCTCGAAGAGGTCGAGCACTCGCTCGCTCAGACTGTAGAAGTGCGGTGCCAATGAGCGCAGATCGACGGTTCGGGGGTCGGCTTTTAGCGCATTCACTACTCGGTCTGATAATGCCGATGGAAGGTCAAGTGTAACTAATCGTGAAGTTCCCAGACGTGCTCTTCCTTCGGAGTTAGCTTGAGTCTACTTCGTCAATAGCACATTCTGCGCAAGATCCTGACCCAATTGATAACATCACACCCAGCCATAATGGAAGATCAATTCGGGTTCCTGCCTTGATCTATACAATCGTCAAATCCTGAGTCCTTCTCCTGGGGCATCGTTACTCACATTTTCTCCAGGATTGCCCTCCAAGATGCCAAGCCCGGGCACCTCAAGTTCAAATGTGCAGGGCAGTTTCTGGTATGCATTCGTTAGATCAAGAAATCGTTGTCAAGGTACCAACTGGCATACTTGAGCGTCTGTCAGGATAGAGTCAACGTCATAGTAGGACATTTCGAAGTCTTCTCTGAGTAGTAAGATTGTCAAGACATAAAGCAATGCCATTAATTGTGGTCTATCGTTCCGCAGCGCGTACCGTTGTCGCGTGGTCACGTGGTAAACGTAAGATTGTCCATTGCTACTTGGTACTTCTTGGCACTTCTTCAGTATGATTTGACCATCGTATACTTCACTCGGCTATCTCAAGGGCGTCATGTAGATTCTACGGGTGTAAGTCTGCCATCAGTAGCAAAAAATAATGGCGTTCTCACGACATTCCTCAAGTCAGGTTCAGTAGGTGCTGTGCCACTGCCCGGAAAGATATTGTTGCCAATTTTGGACCATCTTCCTTTCCAGCGGTGCCAGGCTTGTTTAATTTCAGAAGACTTCTCGCCTATTCGATGAACACGAACTCTGACGGTACTGCGATATGTTGGAAAGTTATGAAGGAGCTTGACTTGGACCTGTCTTTTGATCCTGGAACCATTTCGAAGCATAGCGCCGGATGTCTCGAATCATCCCAGAACTATATGCATCCCCGACAATACGGTCAACAAGGAGTGCCCTGAATGAGGATGTTTATTGGATGCAGATTCTGAAGTCGACGATGGATGAAGGACGAAATCTTACAGCTTAGTCTGGAGGATCTGACAAGTGAATTCAAAGTTTTCGAAGATGTCTCACTACTGAAGGGACACCGTACTGAGACCCGAGGTCATAATGAACCTATGTGGACATTGATCTTTTGTTCCTTTGCCTTCATCACAAACTCAAGTGGATCCTATTAAAGAGTTGCAAGTCAATGGATTTAGGTTGAATTGAAATAGGCGGATCGATGCCACAGACAAAAAAAGCATGAGATCTCGGTTCGAGGAAGAACGGTTTTGTTACCATTTCCGGACGAACCTGGAGGTTCCAGAACTGGGGATTTTCAGGGCCAACCACAGGGTGTTTCTTATCTAAAATAGTGCGACTCCACCGGGCAGTCACACTGCGAACATGTCTTAGATACTGGGAATTGTCTATGTATTATTTCATGGATTCGACATCGAACCATCTCGAGACCGTGGATCTTTAGCTGGAGCAGCTACCTTACTGTACATCCTGATCATGCGTTCTGTAGGTAGAGAGATAGCTATATAACCATTGTCGAGATAGCGCGGCAGATAACACCACCAATAGTGGACAACTTAGAAGCCTATTATGGTACTGATCCAATAACACAGCACATTGAGATTGGACATTGCCTTCCGAGCTTATCGCTCGAATCATACCTGGTTCGTGAAGCCCAACACGATGCTGTAAAATCGGAGAATTGGTGAGGGGAGGCCGGAATATGTACGGTACCACCATTCCTTCTGTTTTCGGACAGATAGTGATCTGCCGAGAATCAAAATCTGTCGCCATCCGTCTTGTGCCCGAAATTAATGCATAACCATGCAGTCTGAACTCCATCATCCACAGATCTCAGTGTCCTCTGTGCTCAGATATGACAGCTACCTTGTTTGTTTGTTTGTTCGTGTCTCCAAGTCATATCTACGCAGTACCATCACCGCAGGGCTTGGCGCTGGGTTCTAAATTAGTGCTAGCTACGAGTAATCGGGTCTAGCCTAGGTATTTAGTTCTTGTCCGTTGATTTTTACTGGCTAGGAGGCATCTATTATCTCGAGACTAGGAGGTGCTAGACCCCTCTCTAAGTTCTAAGATGTCTGAAAACCATCACCCTTCTCCAGTTCCTTGTTTTCGAGAAGACTCGAGTACGAATGTGGCTCTGACTACATCGTACCCTGCAAGAATTTTTTTTTTTCTCTGCTCCATTGTTATGTGTATATTCGAGTCAGTCACATCCCGATCCAGAGATGGGTAAGTACCGAAGGTAAGCAGTACCAGATACTTACCCAGGTACCATCCTTACGTATGTAGTATCAATTAACCCTGACCCGCTACCTTAGGTACCTTATTCCGTACCTGGGCACGTACTTGGGTTGTAAGTGTAACGGCCGTGTAATAATCATGCAAGCGGTATGGGGACCAAATAGGTACAACATTAAGCACCTAAGTAAGGTACGTACCTAGATCCTTCTTATCCAAATATAGCACTGTATCCTGATAGCCGGGGTCAAGGTCTTACAATTCCATACATACATACGTCGCTGGGAAATCTAATTTAATTTATCCAAGGATGGAATGTTCAGTCAGTCCATTCATTATTTTTCCAACGATCGATCTAGTCTACCTCTTCATCTTTTTCTCTCTCTCCTTTGTTTATCTGCTTCTTTAGAAGGTCCCTATTATTGTTTCTTTTTCTTGTGTTTCTCACCCTCCTTCCTACACTCTCACCTTGCCCCTATCTCTCCATTCCTCCTCTAATATCATCTCTCGCCTCCTTTGAGAAGTATTGCATTTGACACACTCCTGTGCACTACTGCATGAGGGTTGCCTTATTTCTTTCCAAAATCCGTCAAGCAATTATCCGTAAATCCCCCTCACCTCCACTAGACCTTACGGACTGCCTTGTGCTCTTGATGGCCCTTGGGGACGTCCACTGCTTCCCCACCACCAAAGAGAATGGCTTACAACGCCGTTTCCCAGGCCGACGTCGAAGTGGCCTCCAACGCGACCGATTCTGACGCCTCCCGCAGTCCATCACTGCAGTCGCACCAGCGCCCCACCTTTCAGCCACTGCCCCTAGATACAGAGCATATCGGAGGAGGGAGTTATTTACAACCGGCAAAGACCGCAGAGGACACCGGATTTGGCAGCTTGAGCTCCATATTACGGCCCATAACATCGACCAGCTACGACATGGTCGAGGAAGACGACTACGAGGAAACGAACCCTGGCGCAGATCGACGGTCCGACGATCTTCGTCGCGTGATTCCTCCGCTCGACACTACTTCCAAGCCACAAGTGCAAACAGACTCCGATGAACCACCCCTGCGGACTCCCATCACCGATACGCCGGTACCTCTCAGTCATCCGACGCCAGATCTCCAGTCCTTACAAGGAGCGTATGTCACTAATGTGGAGAGGTTGGAGAGGAGTGCGGAACGCTTGAGCTCGAGCTCGGCGGATATTGCGAGTGAGATTCGAAAGATGAATCTCGAGCAGAAGAGGCGCTCGTGCAGCTCCGTCTCGAACTCTGTTCTCCAATACAACACGGAAGGCTCCCCCTTGAGGAACAACATTTCCAGCCCTCAGGGCTCCACTCGTTCGGCATCTCGTTTGACGCAAGTGTCGGAAAGTGGAAATGAGGGTATTTTCACCCAGCCTGCGTTTGGGACTGCCCCTGAGCACATTTCTCCGCCTCAAGAGACCTTTTCCCACCAGTCCCCCGCCGATTTTCCTGGTCGGCACGGTCATGGTGCAGGCTACGAGATTGAGAGGCCTTCGTCTGCAGCTTCCGGTGACACCTTTCAACAAGCGAGGGTTCTGTTCACCGATTTTGACGGCGTCCATTTTGTTGACAAAGGTCCGGACCCCATGCGCCATGTGTCGCTGACCCGACCGCCTCTCGCAAGTAGCTCCGAGTCGTACAAGGAACCACAGGTGGGAAATAATATGGTATACTACCCTGCGCCTGTTCCGATGATGCTGAATTTACCGCCTCGGCTATCGCACAGCCGTGATGCGGAGCGGGAACGAGAGAAACGTCGCACCCAGCTCCTCAGCACAGTTGCTCCGGAGAACAGGAAATCCGCGCCATGGCTGTCTGGTCAAATTCAAGAGGAAGCGAACGGCCAGAAAAATTACAAAGATTTGCCTCCGCAACTTCGAGCGAGCGTCTTTTTTGACACGCCGGCCGCACCGCTGGAAATCGAAGTGAAACAGGCTTCGGCCGTCGAAACGCTTGAGAGCATACTGGATGCCTCCGCGCATGCCCCTGTTACTGCCTTTACAGAACATCCCTTCGCTGGGAACGTAGGGTCAGATGTATATCGGAACGCCAAGCCCAAGTCGTCCCATCCGAATCTATACGAACAAAGGAAGAAACGTGCATCGAGAACCAATCTCGTCTCTGAGTATCGTACTTCCAATCCTGATCTCAGAGCGGCCTCCATCGCGTCCCATCCATTACATAAGCAAACTGAAGCAGACGCTGCGGTTAGACATGAAAATGCCGCTCCACATGCGGATGATGATGCTTACGATGAACAGTCAGAGAGCGATGATTCCGAAACGGGGGATGAAGAATCAGAGGAGGAGGACGAACCAGATTTCGAATACACAGGTCCCCCGAATACTCTGCTAGCAGAGCTAGAAATGCGAAAGCAGGAACTTAAACAGCGGCGGCGGACAGCCGCTGCCTCCAATGGAATGCACTCCACCCTTCTTCAGCTTGAGGCTGTCGCGCAGAAGCAAAGTGAGCACAGGCGGCAAAAACCGGTTACATTAGCTTGGGAAGATCCCGACGTTCACAAGCACGAGGAGGATGAGGATGAAGACGTTCCCCTGGCCGTGCTCTTCCCTGAGAAAGCCAATGTCCCCGACGAGGCCAGACCATTGGGTCTCATGGAGAGAAGGGAATTGGAGGAGAGTGAGCCGCTAAGCAGACGTCGCGCGAGGCTGCGAGGAGAGCCTTTGCCCTTGGCCAGCCTTGATAAGCGCCCAACCACCATGTACACTCAAAATATGCCGGAGCCCGCGCAGCCGGACAGCGAAGACGAGGGAGAGACCCTAGCGCAGCGCCTTAAGCGTTTGAAAGCCAAGGACCGCACCAGCACTGTCGCAGAGAGTGAGTTTGCGAGTGAAATCCTTGCCGAACTAAGCCATCTACACGAGGACGAACCGAAGGACAAGGAAACCGAAGCCGCGCCCGAAGACGAGACTCTGGCTCAACGACGAGAGCGGCTTCGAAGGGAGGCCGCCGCTCAGAAGAAGGCGACGCAAGCTCCAAGATACCGGAGAAGTATGGCGGACATCCTTCATGCCCGTCCGATCAGCGTCGGGCAACCGCCCACGAACGAGCCTGCTGCTCACCGTGGACCGACCCATCAGCGTTCATACGACAACCGTCTATCAACACAGCAACTGCCGTTCAATTTTGGGAATCCAGCTGCGGCAGGATTTGCGCAGAACCAAGGACTTGCGGCGGCAAATCCTCAGACTTTGGGGATGGTGCACCCGAACACATTCTACAGCGATGCTATCTTGGGGATGAATCATCTGAGCTATGCTATGCCTCATAACTACCATTCCAAAGTCTTACAGCCTGTGGTTGATAATGGCCAACGGGAGATCATTGATCGTTGGAGGCAAAGCATCAGATAATTCTCCTCTAGCGACCTCAGTCTTGCTTTTGATGCTGTTGTTTCTTTCATTCTTTTACACTCTTGCATCTGATTCTAAGCGATATCCATGGTTGTGATGCATTGAAAGCATAAGCCCTCAAGCCCTCATTGTATTGGTGATATCCACGTAGAATTAGCGATTTTGCTTTGTGTTGTGTAAACTCAATCTCTTGTAAAAACGTTCCTGATAATGCATTGATTCAACCTTTCGTCCTCGCATGAAAGAGCAGCTCTACAGCACTCCGTATGTAGATATGCCCTGCATTTACCCTGCGGATGGTACAACCAATCCAAACCATGACTGGCGTAGTAACTATTTCAATCCAGACCGTGAGATCGATGTTAAAGAGTCAAAAATAAGTTCTGCCTAACTAAAGCACCGGTTGAATCAAACGACAGAGTGCAATCATTAGACTTTCGTGCTGAAAGTTTGGCTTGACCCGTTGATGATGATGATTATCCGCTTTCGGATAATAGGTAAGCTAAGTAGATAACGGATGACATTCCTTCTTCCACCGTTTCGGTCAACAGCAACAATAAATAATGCAATAACACCTAGTTCTTCTCATGGCTGACCCCCTAGTCAGTTTTCATTATTGGCAATAGTTCTTCTCATGAATGATTTCTTTATCATGACTTTGAATGATTATATCACTTGAATACCGGATATTTACCAGTTCCCCCTCCTAATCTAATAATTAATTCCCCCTCAAATTATCTCCTCTGCTTGTTTAACTATTGTTAGAACAGCGACCCGTGCACGGCTGAGACGAGCCCCACAGCTCATTATATTGATTTTATCACCTTTGCAGGCTCAACAGGACGCGAACAACAAATTGAAGGCAGAATGGATGATTTCTATGAGTCCTGAACGGAGCGACCACTCATAAGGAAGCACTGTAGGTGCTGGGGCGCCGATAACCATGCCACCATCCACAGTCTTCTCCTACTGGCGACGTGAACATCGTCGCTCGAGTGCACCCCCGATCTCATCGTCCGGACAAGCCTCTTCAAGAGGCAAAAGCAACGGCAACCCTCCTCAGCTCCCGGTTATTCAGCACACGCCGATCCTTGCGACGACGATCGAGGAATCATCTCCATGCCCCGATACGCTGACTCCCCTTACTTCGAGCGAATACTCGCCGGCAGATGGCGATGCTGATAAGGGACATGGTGTGGGTTCTACAGTCTCGACAGATGCGCCGTCATCTGCTGCGACCAACCTGGCAGTACCGTCCTCTACTTCGGACAAGCAAGCGCGGCCTCAATCCAGTCCAGAAGGCCGCGAAAAGAACTTGGACCTCACTGCTCAGCCGAATTCGTCGCAAGTGTCCATTACGGCTTCCCGTTTTGAGTATGGCGACAGCGACTCCTCGAAGCCGAACTCGCCTTTTAGGCTGTCCTTCGGTAAAGGACTGCTGAACTCTCAGAATCAATCCTTCGACGCCAATATTAAGCGATCTTCGACGCCCGTGTTGACATGTACCGCTGACAAATCGAATACAATGCACAAGGAATACAGGCCGGAAGGCTCGAGTTACCGTCGTCAAACCGACCGGGACGTGTCCGCGGAACATACATCGCATAAATCTGGGAAGGCAATGCTTCACCTCCTCAACCCGATGTCTCTCCTGGCCCGGCGGCGGTCTTCACAATTTGCCAGCCTCCGAGCGGAGGACATCAGCATCGGAGCTCGAAACGTGGTCCCCGCCATACCCGATGATTATGATCCTAGGATACGCGGAAACATCGTGCACGACTTCTCTGCCCCTCGTCCGCGCCGGAATTTGTCCACAGCCCCAGTCCTCTTACAAGATGCTGCAAATCAGTATAATCCATCCAATACGCCGCAGACTGAGAATGTGTCTCGTCCGCATGGGAGGGATGCAGTAGTTCAATCAAGCGAGCACAGGAGGAAACACAGTGAATACTCCCCAGTTTTCAAGGAGCATTTCGAGGACGATCGGAATGTGCTACAAGTTGACAACAAAGCCTATTTACAGTCATCGCTTCTCACAAACCCGTCTCTTCGTAGCAATGATCAATCGGTCCCTGTATTTGCAAGGCGACTTCCGTCGCGACTACCCGATCATGAGGAACATCCCGAGGAATCAATCCCTCATCAATCTGAGCCCCAAGCAGGACCACAGAGCAAAGAACAGCCAGCAGCTCAGCAAGATTCAGATACAATTGAAATAATACCCCATCAGCCATCTGGCCTACCGAAACATTTCAAAAGCAACGCGTCCCGATTCAGTTTTGACATGAACGGAGTTGAATCGTCAGCACAGGAGAAGCTTCTGGAAGAAAAGCACAAGGAGAAAGAAGCGGCACGCAGGGCCAAAGCTCAGCTCGAAGATAGGGAATACAGTGACGTCGAAGACGATTATGACAACGACCTTTTAGATGACTTTGACGGCTTGGAAGAAAAGATCCCTGGGGTCAACACCGACGCCGAAGAAGATGAGTTTAGTGGATTCTCCGGCCCCGGAGCCGCATTGACTACCTCATGGTATGCTCCTGGCCTCTCACCAGTGGTCGCGAGCCCCATCAGCGCCCCAGGTTTTGGTCCGGCAGTCGATTTAGATCTGCAATCCGATCAAGGCGGCGCTCCACAGTTATCCGAGCTCTCTGTCACCGAAGACAAAGTCGCTTCGTTTCTCCCGACGACAACCCTTTCGGAATCGGCGGCGATAGGAGGCGCTCTGCAGACGGGAACTCGTTCTTCTACATCGCAGCTAACCGAGGAAGACGACGACCTGTACTTTGACGACGGGGAATTTGGCGACCTGGCTGCTGATGCAGGCGGCGAGACGTTTGACGAGTCGATTTTCGATGACGAATCCAGTCATTTGTATGCTCGCAAGACGGCAGTTGTACCCGCCGCGCTGGTTGAACCGGGCACGACGGACCAGACGGAAGACAAGTCTAGGTCAAGTGAAGCACCTGAATCTCACATCCTGAGTCCCGAACTGGATCAGAAGGATGGTCTTAAGCACGCACCGAGCGTTGCTAGTGATTTTCGAGACCGAGCAGTTGCCAGATATGGTGGACTTGATGCTGAAATGACCCATAACCTGCCGACAACACAATCTCATGGTGGGGTCTTATCTGAACATAACCTGGAGGTCTTGCACAACGCGCTGGAGAAGGCCGCCAATGAGACAGCCAACATGGACAGATTCAAGCGCACCACAAGCGCGAGCGAGAGGTCCCTAGGCCAGGACAGCATTGCCAGAACGAACCAGACTATGGACTCTTACTCGGGGCTCGTCTCAGACGACAGCCATCTGAGCCAGGTTATGGATGCAATGGGCTTTGAAGAGGTTTTTGACGATTTCAACTACGACGACGATGATGCCTTTTACGATGATCCCATCATCGCTGCTGCCAATGCGGAGGCGCTGGAAAACGACGACGAAGGCTTCTATGGGCAAGAGTTTGGATTTTACGCCCAGGCTCATGGGGCCTACAGCTCAGAACTTACCAATGGGGGGTACTTCGGTCCGCGTGGCGTCGAAGGCATTTCGCGTAACCACAGCAGCCGAGGCAAATTCAGAGAACCCAGTCTGACTCCTATTACTGAACGAAGTGAATGGAGCACGCGAAACTCGGTCATTTCATTGACCGCCCACGGGGCGGCTCACTCCAATCCCGCCGTCTCTGGTCCAGGGCTGGCGCAACTTGTTGATATGGGTACCATGGACGACGAGATGTCCCTGAGCGCGCTGTTGAAACTGCGCCGCGGTGCCTGGGGTGGCAGTAATGGAAGCCTTCGTAGCAGCAGCGGAAGCCCACCACCTCATCATCACTCATCGTCGAATCGCGCGAGCTTCACGGCCTTTTCTGATGTGAGCCCGACTGTATATACGGTTCCGCCGGATTACCTCTTTGGAGGACCAAGCGCGGCTGAATCGCCGATCATGATACCAACAAATGGAGATGTCGTCCACCAGTCGGTATGTGGAGAAGCGGACTCGCAAATGAATCCTGAAGAAGCTGTTCCCAGATGATGCATGTCCATCCACCTCAACGAGCCTGCCGAGCTAAAGATGTCACGACACGGAGAAGCGTGGCGAGTACATATACATGATTTATACCCCCCATTTTACATCTTTCTTGGTTAAATTAATTCATGATGACCGAGTGTCTATACTTGCGTTATGCCGTTTCCTCTCTCCAGGTCTTCCCTGGTCCTGACACCTATATTTACTTAGTTTCTTCCTCTCGATGGGTGCGGAACGTAGTGCCATAATTCGGTGGACCATCATAATCTACTCTCATGTAGTTAGTTTCTGATGTGCCTCAAAAAGTAAAAGGTACATCCCATGAGTCATCGAATCTTCTCGACGATAGCTCGTGCATACAGATGAAGTCATAGTATGGATTTTGTGTCCTGTCCTGAGGATTACTATGAGTAAATTAATCCGTGGCGATGATTGGTCTGCAAGTCCATCCGCAAAAACCCGGAGCGGGAAATGGTCATACCCGGCCTGTGGCGGTGCGTCTTGCTCTACTGTGATTCGCGACCGGCCGTCTTTGCCGCTCTCCAGCTGGTCGGCGGCCCGGGCGTGTGCTGAGTAAGCTGTGGCTGTTGTCAGGAGGACAGCAGGAACTGTATTAGCCACATCCGCGCTGGCCGTCATAACCGTAGACATTCGGCAAACCTCTTCTCCCAGTCCTTCGTCACTACATTTACATTGTCCTCTCGACTCCGGATTTCTCTCCTCTCTTTTTTTTCTTTTTCGCGAGGAAAAAAACAAGAAAAAGCTTCGATTGTCTAAAGAGAGTGCTTGCTCTCTGATGAGTTCTGTTTCTGTGCAGGTGCTACGGCAATCTTAGTCGACACCTGTTTTCTGATTTTTTAGTGACAACCGTGTGTCTTCCTTTCATCCGTTCAATCTATCTCAGCTCCTGGGAGCGTTGCCACTTATATTGACAATTTACGAAACAGGTCTCTATACTATATCTAATTTATTCTTGCTCTCAGTGTTGGGCATTACTAGAAAGAGCTCAGGCCTACTTGTCGCATCAGTTTCATCGTATCTGTTTTCATCGGCGACGGAAAATTCCCGCAATGCTTCGTTCCACAGCCGTCAAGGCCACCGGCAGCGGTCTGCTGCGTGGCCCCGCCTGCTCGGCCTGCAGGCGGTCCATCTCCCTTACTTCCACTGCTAGAGCTACTGCCAGCCATAGCTCGAAATTTGGCTTGACCACGAGAAGACCTCTGGCCATTGTTGACCGTTTGTCCAACGGCAGGAGATACTATGCTGCTGCTACCGATGCTGGAGTGGTAAGCCTAGCGCGCCTTAGTCCCCTATTTTAGCTATCACTGGAGACATGGCTGAGTTGAACGCGCGAATCTAGGATCCCAATGACAACTTCCTTTCCGGAAACACAGCCAACTACATTGACGAGATGTACCTGGCTTGGAAGAACGACCCCTCCAGCGTGCACATCTCGTGGCAAACATATTTCAAGAATATGGAAGAAGGCAACATGCCCATCGCCCAAGCTTTCCAGCCTCCTCCGACTCTTGTGCCTACCCCCACCGGCGGGGTTCCGCAGACCATGCCTGGCGAGGGATTGGGTCTCGCCGCTGGCACTGACCTGACAAATCATCTTAAGGTCCAGCTTTTGGTTCGCGCATATCAAGCTCGTGGTCACCACAAGGCCAAGATCGATCCCCTTGGCATCCGTGGCGAGGCTGAGGCATTCGGCTACAACAAGCCCAAGGAGCTCGAACTTGACCACTATGGGTTCACTGAGCGCGATCTCGACCAGGAGTTCACCCTCGGCCCTGGTATCCTGCCTCGCTTCGCCACTGAGAGCCGCAAGAAGATGACTCTGCGCGAGATCATCGCCACCTGCGAGAGGATCTACTGTGGCTCCTACGGTGTGGAGTACATTCACATTCCTGACCGCAAGCCCTGCGACTGGATCCGTGATCGCTTCGAAATTCCCGAACCCTACAAGTACTCGGTTGACGACAAGCGCCGTATCCTTGACCGTCTGATCTGGAGTCACAGCTTTGAGGCCTTCCTGGCCACCAAGTTCCCCAATGACAAGCGTTTCGGTCTGGAGGGTTGCGAGACCCTTGTGCCTGGTATGAAGGCGTTGATTGACCGCAGCGTCGAGCACGGCATCAAGGACATTGTCATTGGTATGCCTCACCGTGGTCGTCTCAATGTACTGTCCAACGTCGTTCGTAAGCCCAACGAGTCCATCTTCAGTGAATTCTCCGGATCTGCCGAGCCCTCGGACGAAGGTTCGGGTGATGTCAAGTACCACTTGGGTATGAACTTCGAACGTCCCACTCCCTCTGGTAAGCGTGTGCAGCTTTCTCTGGTCGCCAACCCCTCCCATCTCGAAGCCGAGGACCCCGTTGTTCTTGGAAAGACTCGCTCTATTCAGCACTACAACAATGACGAGAAGGACTTCAACAGCGCCATGGGTGTTCTGCTGCACGGTGATGCTGCCTTCGCCGGCCAGGGTGTCGTCTACGAGACCATGGGCTTCCACTCTCTCCCCGCCTACTCGACCGGTGGTACCATCCACATCATCGTGAACAACCAGATTGGTTTCACTACTGACCCGCGTTACTCGCGCTCTACCCCTTACTGCTCGGATATCGCCAAGTCCATCGACGCCCCCGTGTTCCACGTCAACGCTGATGATGTCGAAGCCGTGAACTACGTTTGCCAGGTTGCTGCCGACTGGCGTGCCGAGTTCAAGCGCGATGTTGTCATTGACATCGTCTGCTACCGTAAGCAGGGTCACAACGAGACCGACCAGCCCTCTTTCACTCAGCCCCTGATGTACAAGCGCATCGCCGAGCAGAAGGCCCAGCTTGACAAGTACGTCGAGAAGCTGATTGCCGAGGGCACCTTCACCAAGGAGGACATTGACGAGCACAAGAAGTGGGTTTGGGGCATGCTCAACGACAGCTTCGACCGCAGCAAGGATTACCAGCCCACCGGCAAGGAATGGCTGACCTCTGCCTGGAACGGCTTCAAGACTCCTAAGGAGCTGGCCACCGAGGTTCTGCCTCATCTGCCTACCGCTGTTGATACTTCTTTGTTGAGCCATATTGCCGACAAGATCAGCGGCGCCCCCGAGGGCTTCACTGTCCACCGCAACCTCAAGCGTATCTTGGCCAACCGCAAGAAGGCCGTTGATGAGGGTAAGAACATTGACTGGGCTACCGCGGAGGCCCTTGCCTTTGGTTCTCTGGTCAAGGAGGGCTACCATGTCCGTGTTTCCGGTCAGGACGTTGAGCGTGGTACTTTCTCCCAGCGTCACGCCGTTCTCCACGACCAGGAGAACGAGGCTACCTACACCCCCCTGAAGCACATTGGCGAGGACCAGGGCAGCTTCGTCATCTCCAACTCTTCTCTCAGCGAATTCGGAGCGTAAGTTGATTTCCAATGACTGATTTATGCTTGCTCGCTCAAACTAACTTCTTCTTAAGCCTCGGTTTCGAATACGGTTACTCTCTGACCTCCCCTAATGCCCTGGTCATGTGGGAGGCCCAGTTCGGTGACTTCGCCAATAACGCTCAGTGCATTATCGACCAGTTTATCGCTTCTGGAGAGTCCAAGTGGCTGCAGCGCTCCGGTCTCGTTGTCTCTCTGCCTCACGGTTATGATGGCCAGGGTCCTGAGCACTCTTCGGGTAGAATGGAGCGTTGGTTGCAGCTTTGCAACGAGGAACCTCGCCAGTTCCCCACTCAGGACAAGTTGGACCGTCAGCACCAGGACTGCAATATGCAGATTGCCTACATGACTTCTCCTGCCAACCTTTTCCACATCTTGCGTCGCCAAATCCACCGCCAGTTCCGCAAGCGTAAGTTTTGGTTCTCCCCCTCTATGAATGACTTTTCATTAACTCACTTACCATAGCCCTCGTGATCTTCTTCTCCAAGTCCCTCCTCCGTCATCCTGTTGCTCGCTCCGATATTGAGGAATTCACCGGTGACTCGCACTTCCGGTGGATCATCCCTGACCCGGCCCACGGTACCGCCATTGACGAGCCCGAGAAGATCGAGCGCGTGATTCTGTGCACTGGTCAGGTATATGCTACCTTGGTCAAACACCGCGAGGCCAATGGTATCCGCAACACTGCCATCACCCGTGTTGAGCAGCTGCACCCATTCCCTTGGGCTCAGCTGAAGGAGAACCTGGACAGCTACCCTAACGCCAAGGACATTGTCTGGGCTCAGGAAGAGCCTCTGAACGCCGGTGCTTGGAGCTACACCCAGCCCCGTATTGAGACCCTGCTCAACGAGACTGAGCACCACAACCGTCGCCACGTCCTCTACGCTGGTCGGGCCCCAAGCGCGTCCGTCGCGACCGGTCTCAAGTCCGTCCACGCCAAGGAGGAACAAGACTTCCTTCAGGAAGCATTCACTGTCCACCAGGATCGTCTGAAGGGCGAGTAAGCGGGGACGTTGTTAGCCACTGTTGGATTATCATCTTAGGTGCTTTGATTTGTAGGAGCTAGCGTCTATCCATTTCTTGTCTCCTTTGTATGAATTCATTCTGTTGTCAGCATCTACTGCGGCTTCCATCCTACAGTCATGCTGTCCTGTTTTTTTATATCTCTTTTTTGAATGTTTCCTGGCATCCGTCTTACGGGTTAGGATTGACTTGTCTATTCCTAGAACATGCCGGAGCATGTGTTTGTAAACTAAGAAGGCCTGAATTACTAGATCTGCAGTATTACTTTTCGTGAACATATCCCGTCCTAGACAGGTACTTATGAGACTGAATTGATATACAGTGCTGATGACGTCAAGGCCACCAATGGGGGTAAAATGAGTAAGCAATCTAGAGTGCCTGAAATGAAAGGCACCAATCAGCTGATGCGGGCCCAAAGAGGAAAGTCTTGCTTCTCCGCACTGCAGAACTTCCGTCTCCTCTCGCCCCCATTATCTGACAGCCATCCCATCAACACCTTCGTCCATGTTGTTGGGTTCAAGAAGTATCCCAAACTTTTGTTTGTACCATATTTTCTCACCTGATTGAGCGGTTTCTGACCTGTTGCGGTTGGACTTACTCTTCAACCATGGCATCCGTCGTTTCTTCGTCGGCCGTCAATGCTCAGGGTCAAAATGCTCGCCAGTCAGCGCGCCAGACACGTACGAACCCATCCAGAACGTCCAAGACGCTGGGACGGTCGTCATTTGCCTACGGTCACGGCTCAATGATCGAAGCGCCCCCTACGCCTCCTGCCCCTCACGGATTCTATCCCGCCCTCACTCATTTCACCGACGCCATTACCGCTCTCCCGCGAGAATTTCGCCGTCACAATTCGTTGCTGAAGGAAGTGGATGCAAAGGCTTGGGCGCTTGAGGATAATCTTCTCCAACTGTTGAAGGTTTCTTCGGAGTCGCAGCCTGTTCCTTGTCCGTTGAATCCAGCGCCTATTGTCGACGGGGTGGTTCGGGATGATGTTGTGCCAGCGGTAGGTCGTGGATATCTACAACAAATAATGTGCTTGGCTAAAACCGGTTTGCTTTACGATAGGATCCCTCGCAGCCTCCTGAATCACAAGACAGCAAAAGCCGCCGTCTTCTTTTCGATCGTGTGCGGCGCACCCTAGTGGATCTGATGATGACCGCGGACGAAAAGAACCATGTCATTTCCAACGCCAATGACGAATTAGACCGGCAGCTTCTGCGCATCGACGGCGTATTCCCATTCATCGCAGGGGAGATCAGTGAGGAGGCGCGCCTGGGCAGTCTTACGCACTGGGCCTACTCGAACAGGAACGCCGCCAAAACTACTACGAATGAGCGTCCTCGACGGGAAGTCGCATCCAACAAACAAGACCTGAACCATGCGCTTGAAGCCGAAGCCGGATCCCGTAGTGATGCGAGACGGGATGCCGCTCGCAAACAGCGGCGCACGCATGCCGATTCGGACTTTGACGATGCTCGTGCATCTGGTTCGCGGAAGGGGCAGGTTAGCAAGCCTCGTAGCGGTGCAGGTGCAGCTACTGGGGATCTATCTGCAGTCGGCCATGGTGCACAAACTTCGGGTGCTTCGGGGGCTTCGGGTGCGACGAAACGCCGCAAGGTCGAAAGACCTCCAGCAGCCGATACTGGCGCAGCGATGGAAAGATCCGCCAGCGGTGCTGGGAATGCTTTGGGCCGTGGTGCATCGAAGGATGCGACAGCTTCAGATGCCACCAAGAAGAGATCTCGTGCTCCCAACACGAATGCAACCGCTCGCAAGAGGTGAACATCCCCAGGACCTTTCGATTATACTCCTGTGCATTTGCTAACCAGATCGGTAGAAACAATACCGGAACCTCTGCGGCAAATTCTCCTGTCCTGGCACCTGCTCCTCTGGCCGGGGCGTCGAGTGCCGTGCGTAGCGCAGCCAGTCCTGGACCTGGAGCAGTCGCTCGGCCCCAGTCCTCTCGTGCTCAGCAGAGCTCTGGGCAGTCGACAAATGGTCGCCAGCGGCCGTCCTCCTCGGCGTCCAATCGCCTGGCAAGCAACAGTATGTCACCTTTTTTCTTTTGCCTTTCTCTTGCTAACTTTATTTTTGATTCAGGCAAAATCGTCGATACCAAAACTCTACCTAAAGAAACTCCGAAAGCGGACATGGTTGCAGCTGCACTTAATTCAGAATTGCAACGCCAAGCCGAGGAAGAGACTTCCGCCACAGCTGCAGCCAAGGCTGTCGGACCCGTGAGCATGAAACGGGAAGATACAGAGATCCGTCCTGCTGAGTCGGTCGAACCTCGGGAGACGCCAGTACCTCAAGCTTCAAACACAGCTCCGAAGGGCCGGTCGTCGAAGACGTCCACGCCCGTGCTCTCCACTCTCTCAGAACCCAACTCCCAGCGCACCCGACCTACTCGCAACACAGACCCGGCGCCCGCGAAACGATCACATAAGAAGAGTGGCACTGTGGCTGTAGCCCAGCAGCGAGCGGCGTCTGAGGAGGAAGACTCGCTGCATGAAGGGGACGACGAGGATGAAGATGGCGAGCCGCGGTACTGTTACTGCAACGAGATCAGCTTCGGTGAGATGGTTGCTTGTGACAACGATGCGTGCCCGCGGGAATGGTTCCACCTGTCGTGTGTTGGGTTGACCAAACCGCCGGGGAAGAATGGTAAGTTCATTGGCCTAATGAGTTGGACCATGCTGATAGGGTACAGTCAAATGGTACTGCAATGAATGCAAGGAGAATATGCGAAGAAGTCGGAATGGGCGGTAACCAGTCACTGTATGGGGTCATATGCTCAGGCACAGTTTTGTTGATCGTGGGTAGTAGGAGTAGGGCAGGTTATGGACATAGCATAATAGACTTGATTTTCCGGCAGATCACTTAGTCTTGTCCTCATGGAATCCAGTGTTCTCTCCAGCGTAAGCACTTTGATACCAGGAATTACAACGCCCTCAACCTATCCATAATCCCTCCCTCTCGCCTACGCTGTCTCTGCCCAGACGCCTCCCCCCCCAGCCCAACACCGGCATTCCCACTCGCCGCCGCAGCAGCAACAGCCTCACCCTCCAACCTCCTCCTCAAATCCTCATAGCGCTCCCCGCCTTCTTCCCCCTGATTCCCCCGTCTCCCAATCTCCTTCTCCCCAACCACCCAAGCCGGAACCCTCCACCGAGCCGTAGGCAACGGCAACACCTCCGCCCGCCACGCAACCCCAACAACCCACCCCACCACCGCTGGAAGCATCATCCCAGGAAACTGCGACAGAGCCAGCTGCGCCGCAACCAAGTACGTAGTTGACTTGTCGGACAGGAGGAGCGTGAGGTACTTCCCTTGTCCCCCTTCTCTTCTCTCATTCGTATCCGCAGACGTAGATGTGCTGGTGCTGATCCTATACCGAAACGTATGCGGAATCCCAGCATGATACTGCGCCAGCAATGCAAAAAGCGTAGCTGTCGGTCCGCAGGGTAGATAGTTCATTTTGTAAAGGGTCAGCGGGCGGAGGAGGACGAGGAGGAGCGGCGGGAGGAGGGAGGTATATGGTAGCGTCGAGAGGATGAATGTCTTTCACGTTGTCAGTATCACTCACTGTACGTTATCGCCAAGGCGTAGCATTGAATGCGAAAAAGAAAAGGGAGGGGGACGTACCGCGAACTTGCGCTTCCCCCATGCGCGCTCAACAACGCGGAGATGGTAGGCGAGCATAGCGGCGAAGAGGGCCTCGGTTGAATTGGCGAAGCCGGCGAGTTGCCATGTTGCGAGGCGCCAAAATTGGGCGTAGGGCCAGAGATGCGGGGAGACGCGGATGCTGGCGAGGTATTTGATGTCGAGGATGGAGAGGGCGATGGAGGAAGCGATTGTGTAGATGAGGAGGAGTTTGGTGATTGGGGCGTTGGTTAGGCCGGAGGTTAGCATTTTCGTCTTTTTTCCTTTTCTTTTTGGGTTTTACTGGAACGGGGCAGACCGCGTGGTCTGAGGTGCGGAGTGTGCTCTGCTGGTGCTGGTGTTGTTGTGGTTGTTGATGATGGTGAGGGGAGATGATGGGGGATGATGACGGACACGTCGCGCCAACTGTGGGCCGAAGCCGAGTCGGTCGGCATGCCGATAATTGATTGACTCTACATCTACGGACTACCGTAGCGTCTACAGTTATACTATACTGGATGCAGATGAAATTCATGTACATTATCTATTTTCCAGCGATTGCAATCGCTGCATTTCTTCAGTGTATGCCGTATTGTACTTGGCCAAAGCAGTCTCCAATGCTCGGATGGTGGGCCCCAGCAACTGCTTGACGGCCTTCTCTCCACCTGTAACTCCGGCAAGATTGAGGCGGATCTTCTTGCCCGTAGCCTCTAGCACCTCGCGCGCATGCTGCTTGAGTCTGTTTACTTCCACCTGGCGTTCTGCCTCGGCATCGTTTGCGACAGATTGGATGCGTTCCATGGCCCGGTTCAGCGATTCCACAAGCGACGCTACCTCGGCCGCACGGTCGGGATTTCCGGACAGAAAAGCCTGCCAGAATTGATGAAGGAACTCCGTGGTCGTCGCATGTGTCAGGGTTAACCGATCATAGAGATTGGTCGACAACCCGTACGTTCCCCCCGCGGATGTCGCCTCCGTCTGGTTGCGCCGGTCGCGGATGGCGTCAAGGATCTGCTTCGATGCGCGCTGCAAGTTGGCCTGCGACCCGACCCGCTGATCATGTTTCTGCTCGTCCTCATCTTCAAGTTCTTCTGGTTCCACAAGCTTCCCCAATGGCGCTGTCCCATCGGTCGGCAGGTCCCGGTCGATCTGGCCGCGTAGATCACGGAGGATCTGGTCGGGATCCTGCTTGGCAAACAGCCGACTCTGCTCATCTTCGGTTACTTTGGCCTGCGAGAAAAACCGACTCTGATCCCGGATATTCAGTAGAATCCTGTTCTGTTCATCGTCCCCGCGCAAGTCCCGCAACTGCAGCTCATTGTACGTCTCCTCGTCAATGCCGACAGGCGCCGACGGGTCGCGATCCACCGGCGCCACATTCGCCATAATCTTCTCGCTCAGCGAATTCAGCGTCCGAATGATGGGCACCTTGTCCACCCCAGACGGCCGCATGTCCAGATCCGGCCGATTCCCGCGCCGCTGGCTGTTATTGACCTCATTCCCTGCCAGATCCAAAAAGTGCGGCAAGTGCGCCTCCCGCTCGAGATTCGCCTGCTCGTCCTCGCGCAGATATTTGTCGAGAATGGTATCCGTGGCATCGTTTTCGGAGATGCGCTCGCCGCGCAGTTTTTTGAACAGCCGACTCTGAAAGAATCGCGACCAGAACTGCTGCTCGCTCAGCTTCGGCACATTCTCATCATATACCCTCTTCACAAGCGGATGCTGGCTGAAAATGAGCTGGATCTGCTCCTTGCTGATATTGAGCTTGGTCACGTTGTCCTCGACCCGCGGCTTCAGCGATGAGAGCACGTTGTACGAGCCGCGCGTCTGCGACCGTTCGATGGCGTGCGCCCGCAGCAGGTGCAGCCGCGTCGACCAGAACTGCGACATGAACTGCGAGGCGGACAGGGTATCTGGTTTGGTGTGCAGCGATTCCATAAACATGCGCTGCAGGTTCGCATCGACCTTGAGCAGCGACTGCTGCAGCTCCACGTCCGCCTTGAGCCGCTGGTCGTCGTCCCAGGGTTTTGGGGCCCGCCCGGCCGAGGATACCGCGCTCGCGATCGCCATGGCGGCTGACATCCCTTCCCCGCCGGCGGGGGTTCCTGTCCGACCGGGTGTCGGAGTCGGGGTGGCACTCGCCGCGGTTTTGGCAGCCTGGATGGCGGCGCTGAGTGCATCTTTGATGGCATTCGCTTCCGCACGGGCGTTGGCCCCGGCCGTGAAGGAGAAGACGTATTGTTCTGGAGAATCATTCGGTGTATTGGGAGGGAGAACGAAGATCTTGAGCATCACTTTGGGGTTACTAGCCGGGGTTTGCTGTAGATCTGCCTTGGTCAATAACCATACAGAGACAACCGAGCGGCCATCTCACATACTAGTGATCTGAGAAACTGGAATCGTAATCATTCCGGTAGCGCCGCCAGCCGCAGGAATCCACGAGATGGACTGGCCGTCCTGAGACATGGTCAGGGTGCCATCTTTCTTCTTGTATGCCGCCGATCCGCTCGGAGGTGCCATCGTCCTGGAACTCGACAGCTTCCACTGTCCTGAGCGGCGTATCGGGATGCGCCCATCGGGAGAGGAGAAAAAAGTCCTTCCAAGGGCGAGGCCGGCGAAGAGGAAGGTCAGCGGCCCTCTGTGAAGATTTCGTGGGAGGGAAGTGGGATGATTTCGAGGTCGTGTAAAAATGGGCTCCGCAGCTCTCGTATAAGGAAAATATCACGTGACAGGTGGCCGTCTGCACGTCACAGACTCGATCCAGAAAAATTCATGGCCCCAGGTTGGAACAAGATGAAGGAGACTACGAAACTGAGCTACTGACAGCATTTAAACCTTGTTGGCAGCTTTAAACCTGAGATGAGATTTAGCTATAAGATCAAACCGAAATGTACAGACAGCAGAGCAATGACGCCATTTCCATGAAACCCCCGACGTCAAAGTAGAACAAGAAGAACTCTTTACAGCCAGAATTGCCCTCTGTATACCCACGCAGCTAGGATTGACCTCAAGGTTATAATGGGAACATGTCATAGAGCGAGGATTGATCAACAACCTTAAGAGACTAACAACCGTCCCAGAGAAGCACAACCGTAACGCTATGAGAATCACTCCCGCTATGCAGAACACAAGATGCTGGACAATTCATAGCAAAAGGAAAGCAAAGCAGATTATCAAACAGAGTAACCAGTGATCCACCCGCACTTTTGTCGCTCATGCTTGCAATTTGGTATCATGAATGAGTCCGCCCATTTTTCGTCAAGGACAGCAAGAGAAGAAAATGAAGCATAGCAAGGGTATTAAACAATCAAAAGTCGTAAGCAACAGCCAGGAAGGAACACTCTTTGTCTCCAGGACTTATTTCTTGAACATGTAATGGCCATAGATGCCTCCAACGTCTCCAACCACAACTGGGATCTTCCTCATTCCCCACCAACGGGCGCCCATTTTCCAGGGACGAGAGCCGTCGTCGGGGACTTGGTTTGGCATAGATGCAGGGTCACGTACGTACCAGCCGCGTCTGCCAAGCTCACGGACGGTCCAGCCGCTGGAGGCACGGTTATTCTTGATTCTCTCCCTCAGCGGAGCAATGATCTTGTCACTGAATTCAATGACTTGCAGGGGATAACTCTGCTGTGAGAGGAGCAAGCAAGTATTGGTGTTGAAGATAGTGCCAATGGACAACTGCGTGACCTTGTTGAGGTCCAGGTAGCACAACGACGATGGCACCCACGGTTCCTGCGCCTCGGTCGAGCCCGCATTGTCCGACACTGGAGGCGGAGCGAAAAACATATTGAGGTCTTTGCAGGACAAGTCCGCCGAGCTCAAGCCGAGCTCCTCGAGATGCTTGGTCAAAGGCACTAGGGCAGGCGCATGAGCAGAGGTGATCTTGGCACCTCCCAGGTTCAGCGAGCGGAGGGTTTTGGGCAACCGAGGAAGAAGAGCCGAGACATCCTCCTCCAGGAGAATCCGGTAGCGAGTGGGATCGGTCAGGAGGTTGAGGTACACCAGCGTATTGCACACTGCGGGATGCGTGGTCAAAAACTCGACCACCCTCGGACCCTTCAACCGAGTGCACCGCGAAAGGCTGAGATGCGTAATCTGCGCGGTCTCGGGGATGGAGAAGAGCGCCGCCTCGGTGATCTGCGTGTGTGTGACATCGAGATGGGTCAAATTGATCAGACGAGGGAGAAGAACCTCAAAGGTAGACGGAGGCAGACTGCTGCACTCGTGCAGGGACACCCGCTTGAGATTCGGTAAGCTCAGAGGCAGACCCGGTCCTGTGGTCAAGGCTTCTTGGAAAACCGCCGAGAATGACTGGGTAGCACAACCGCAGAAGTCAACACCATGCAGGTTGGGCAGGCCGGTGAATATCTTCCGCACGATGTCCACGCTGATATCACCTTCCACATGCTCCTGCAGCAGACATTCCTTAAGGTTTGGCAGAAGATCCAAACATTTCAACAGCGTCGTGGAGGTGAGGTTCTGGATTTCTGCATTCATCTGCTTGGTGCGTCCGAGTCCTACGGAGGTGAAATGGGAAAAGTCCAGACGACGCACGAGCGTTCCGAGCGCGGGATACTGCAACATGTGGTTGAGAGCCTTGGAGAAGATGATGGAATGCGGGAAGGTCATGTTTCTGTACAACACACCCAGTGTGGCAGCGTGCAACGTACGGGAGGTCAAGAGGCACGACACCAGGTCGACATTCCGTGGTGTGTAGCCATTAGGAGGGATATCCAAAGCCAGGTTGGAAATGATTTGATCTGCAGTGACACTGTCAGTGGACGAGCTGATATCCGGAATGCATACGGGAAACTCACCGAGAACTTCCGGGGGTAGTTTCTCTAGCCGCGAGGAGCCTGGAGGGGGTTTCTGAGACTTGGATTGCACAGTCTTCGTGGGAGGATTATTCACCACCGCATTGCTCTCCCACGCCCAACCCCGAGTGTGCATAGCCCCCAACGCGCGAAGATCGCCATAGCTGCGGCTGAGACTCTTTCCTCCGAGTCGAATCTGTTTCCAACCAAGAAAACCACCGCAAGGACAACAGAAATCCGGTGTGTGTTGCATATCAATCGCTAACGGCGATGTCGGTTTGGCCTGCTCTGTGGGAGACTGGGTAATGTGTGTATCAACGAACGATTGAGCAATGCCTGTGCGGAGAGGATCAATCAGCATGTGAGACCTTGCCGATACATGTGCACGAATGCTTACCGTCGACGTCCTCCTTGATCGAACCAAACGACGGACGACGGCGACTGCTAGATCTGGATCCGTTGGGTGAGGAGCAAGCGGACGAGTGCGGCGAGGAAGTGCGCGATAGTTGAGGATGACTAGTGTCTATAGCCGGGGCCGTAGTAAACCGAGAATAGGTTGGCTTCTGTAGGGGAATGGCAGAGGCGGCGACGGAAGACATGATAGACTGGAAGGGGCCTGCAAGAGGCCTCCGAACTATATAATCCGCCGGCTAGGTGAGGAGAAAGAAGGTCGGATGGGATACGGATGCGTAGGAAGGAAAGGGGAACACAAGAGGGCCGAACAGACGGGACTTTTTTTTTTTTTTCTCCTTCCTTTTTTCTCTTAGCTAATTAGTTCTCAATTTTCCCCAGGTTTACCAGCAAATTCTTAAATTCCTTACCGAAGCAGAGGAAAAAAGGAGGGGCGGCGGAGACTTTGTTAAGGTGAGGAGAATGAGGAAGCTGTTAGTCACAGAAATTCGCTATTGAACTATGGATGTTCGATGGCAGCGGACGGGCACACCACCGCGTTTCCCGAACGGATGCACGGTTCAAGGTTGGAATGCGACCAGTAGGAGGAAAAGGACGGACTGTCACTTGCGTAGCTGGCTATTTGCGGACAGTAGTCTGAAGAGTTTGATGGTAGATGGAAGATGGATGGGGTGGTGAGAGATGAAAATGGGAGAGGAGTCAGAGCATGTCAGGAGACCAGAAAACCAAAGGCAAAATCTAGGTTTATTGCTATTGATCCTGCCTAGGTAGTACGGTACAGCTTCTAAATAAAAACTTTCTCGACAAAAGTGACAGCAAAGCGGAGGCGGCAAAAAACGAGCAGACAGAGATCAAGAGACACAGAAAGAATGAGAACCACCGGGCTGGCCTCCATGGAAAGGGCAAGATGCGGCCACATGGGGCGAATTGGCCATGATGAATGCGGCAAACAAAGTACGGGGTATCTAGACATCTTGCTTTTGTAGATGGTGATAATTGATAGTAATATTGATAGTACTCCGTACTTTGTAGTACATCTTACTGAAGAAGCATCAGACGTTGTAATGATCGCCATTCTTCCATTTCTTTTCTTTTTTTTCTCTCTTGCCTCTAAAATGCTCTAAATCTGGAATTAAAATTTATCAATCGGACCTGGCGGTGTGCGCTAGTATCACTTGGGAATAGGGGATTTCCATCTGCGATGAAAACATTGCATCATAAAGCACGACAGCCTCAACATGGATGAGGTAGAGAACCATCGCTGAACGTCGGTATATTTGATAGCTTATAAGCAAGGTTAACTACAAGTCTACAGGGGCTGATAATGCCTGTTCTGCCCATTATTATTATTATTATTGCAGACATATGGATGTTATTATTGAAATCTACCATGGCCCATCTCTTGGCCTAATCTTCTTTGGGATCGCCGCAAGCATTTCATGACATAATGCGAACCTTCCGCTAGCTCATTATTAGCGTTTTGGTGGAACATAATTACATAATTACTTTATGCAAGTTGACTCGAAACACTCCTGCTATGCTGAAGATGGACAGAAGACCTCTTGAGAATATCTATTCGCTTTTCAAACTATGAACTATGTCAATGAATCAATCATGACATGAATACACAAAAATGGATTGGCAAATTTGCCGTCCTTCGTACTCCCATAGACCATACTGGTGAACACTGACTAGTCTAGAATACCCCAGATCCAGCCACGTTCTCCGAAACTAAACCGGCGCCCCCTGTTTTGCCTTACCTAACAGTTATGCTAGCGTCCACACTAGCTCTCTCAGCTTGATCTATCATTCGTCACTTTGTCAAGCATTCTCAGGGTGACGGTTGATCATGCGGAGGTCTGACAGTTACATTTAACAGAGCATCATCGGATCATGATGAGCTGTGTCTCTCATTTGTCACTTGACCTTTCTATTAGCAATGCAAATCCCCCTGGCTCTGCAACAGACATCACCTGACCGTCTCCCTTAGCAAACCAGGAAATCAAGGATTATTAATCTCTACAATTTCAACCAACTGGCAATAGATATCCGACCGGAAAATGGGTCCAACCCGGTCCAGCAAACAATACTAATGCTTAGCTCAAATACGTGGACTATTATTGCACAATGGCTGGACCCGATGCTCACTAGTCCAGTAGTCTAGATAGTTCCTGCCTGCGGACTCCGTTCATGGTCCGTTCTTGTCACTTCAGGGACAGGCCACATGACCTGGTCTCATTTGGCATTTTCCCTGGCAGTGCGTTGTCCACTGCAGCTGCAACATACCCG